TGGCAGCATCGGGTACGCAACGATGAAGTCCGGCGTAGCGTCTTGGAAGACATAAGCGTTCCATTTAATCGATTAGTTGCAATGCATCAACTGAGGTGGCTTGGCCACGTCCTACACAGGTCATGCGAGCGGTTACCACGCCGCGTCTTATTTGCTCGGACGGGATTGAATTGGAAGAGAATGCGCGGAGGTACGCCAACCACTTGGTGGTAAAACATGAAATCTCTGACCTGTCTCGCAAACGTCAGCTCTGTACGACTTCCTGGTTGGGGACCCAAGGATGAGGATTTCCAATGGCTAGATACACTTGGTGATACGGCACGAAACTGGAATCAATGGAAGAACTGCATACTTAAATGTTTGAAAAAGGTATGAATACCAATGAACAAATGGCGTGAGAAAATAAAAAATAAAGAGCCAAAAAGAGTGTGCACTTTTTTAACATGTGTACTCCCTTCCTTACTTTTGCTCATAATGGTTTTCCGATGGCTGGTGTCAGGGAGAGTAAAATCGCCGAAAACCCATTAATTCAATGGGAAAACAACCTGAGCCAATGGTGCGCAATGGAAACATTAAGTGAGTTTAGGAACGTTCGTGTCCATACGACGAGCGCAGCAACCTTCGCAATCGAAATGATTTGGAATGTTGGTAGCTCGGGAGGCTTGCTCAGTTGTTGTGGAGTTCTCCGAGCTGGGCAACTTGGTTGCAAACGTTTCACCACCATTCGAGGTGGCATCTTCAGTGCGGGATTGATAGCAGTAAAGTAGCAGTAGCTGGTAGAAAGCAAACCCAATAATGGATGCTGTCAGCAGCCACTCCGTTCCTTATATAGGCATACGGGGCTATTAAATTTGCCTCGTTCTCATTGGTGAATCCTTGTGTTCAGCGGTTGTGCTCGAGTCATTGTCATTGGCTGCGGAAAAGTTGTTGCGACGTGGTTGGGAATATCGCACCCGGATTGGTGCAACGGGTGTGGGTGAGTAGTCTGGGCTCATATTGACCATGCTGTTCATTGTCCGTGTGTTGGATTAGGTTCTTTCGGACAACGGTTTTTGATCCGCTTGAACTCTCTCTGTCTCAGCGGTTGATATATTGGATCGAGGTCGATATGCATGTTGATTGAGTTCGTGGTTGAGAACCAGGCTTCGAGAAACTCCCTCCCTTTTTGTGTTTCTCCTTCGGTCAAGATCTCTACTTTGTTCCAGTCGAAGCTGTGTCCCTCTTCATCCACATGTGCTGAAACCAATGAGTTTGCGTAATGGTTCTTGCACGCTCTTTGGTGTTCATGTATCCTGGTGGACAGCTTCCTTCCTGTTTGTCCCACATAGTGCTTTTCACAGTTTACGCAGTTTATTCTATATATGACATTCTGTCGTTCTAGTGCCTCTCGCTTTCCTTTTGGTTTTGACAATGTTTTCCTCAGAGTGGCGGTTGGCTTGTGGGCTACCATGATATGATGTTGGTTGAACAATCTAGCAGTCATTTCAGACACGTTCTTTATGTACGGCAGAACTATACGTTTCGCCATAGCTGACGTAGGTTCGGTTTTTGAGGGCTTGCGATTTAGGCATCTTCGGAGGAAACTGCGTGGGTATCCGTTGCGTTCGAATGACCTGAATAAGTGTTTTTCTTCTGCTCGTTTCGCTTCTGTCGTACTGCAGTGAGTTTCTATTCTATGGAACAGTGTCCTCACACAGCTTATTTTGTGACATCTTGGGTGGTTGCTGTTGAAATTCAAAATCTGATCGGTGTGCGTGCTTTTTCTGTAAACTGAGGTTTGCAATTCGCCGTCCATTGTCCTGGCTACCAGCACATCCAAGAAAGGAAGTTTGTTTTCCTTCTCTGATTCCATGGTAAACTGTATACCGTCCATAGCGTTGTTGAGCAGTTGTTGTGCAACCGATACTTGACTACGTTTGAGTATCACAAACGTGTCATCGACGTAGCGAACCCAGAGTTTCGGATTAATCATTGGCAGTAGATCCTCTTTCAAGTTTTAAATGACAATCTCTGCGATGAGTCCGGACACAGGTGATCCCATCGGTGCACCTTTCACTTGTTTATACATTTTCCCGTTAAACGCGAAGTAAGTTGAGAGACATAGGTTGAGAAGTTCGCATACGCTTCTGGTCGTCATGTTCCCAATTTTCCCTCCGCTGTTGTCCAGACGTTCTACGATAATTTCTTTGGCCAGCTGTAAGTTGACGGAAGTGAATAGGGCGGTTACATCGAAGGACACCATGGTTTCATCATGTGCTATTCGTAGGTCTTTGAGCTTTGTCAAGAATTGTTGGGCATTGTTTATGGAGTGTTGCGATTTACTGATTAGGTGCTTGAGGCGCCTCCATAGTTCCTTTGCCAGATAGTACGTGGGCGTGCCTGGAAGTGACACAATTGGTCTTAAGGGTGCTCCGTCCTTGTGTACTTTAGGTAGTCCATAGAATTGTGCAATGTTCGAGTCGCGAGCCTTCATTTTTTCTCGTTCCACTTCCGATATTTCGCTCGACTTCTTAAGCTTCGCCAACACTCTGTTTATTTTGTTGGTTAGTTGCGACGTTGGGTCATTCTCAATGCATTGGTAGGTTGTAGTATCGTTCAGGAGCTGTTGTGCTTTCTCGGTGTAATCTGCTTTGTCCATAATTACTGTCATCCGTCCTTTATCAGCAGGTAGGATAACAATTGATTCGTCAGACTTCAGAGCTTTTATTGCTTCTTTCTCTTGTCGGGATAGAGGGTTGCATTGCTTTAAATGCGTCATGGCTGGGACGACTGTGTATCTGATTTGTTTCTGTGTTTCGTCGTCTAGTCCGTTGGACTGCAAAGCGCTTTCAAATCGTGCCAGAAACTCCGTAGTTGTCGCGTCTTTGTAGTTATAATTTAGGCCTTTGATGAGAATTTGTTGTTCCGTACCACTGAGTGGCCGTTTTGACAGGTTCCTGATCCAACCATTGTTGATGCATTCGTCGGTGCTGGTTGTCAGTTTGGTCAACTTCTTGTGAAGCGCAGTCTGCTTTTTTGCTTTTGTGTTTTTAGCTCTGCGATCTATTGCGCGTTGCACTTGTTCAGTCAGTTGTTGCCCAATTGTTTGTAAACAATTGGTTCGATGTTCGTTTAGACAACGTTCATATTTTCGGATACGGTTGTGAGCGTCTGTGATCATCATTCGTACCATACACTTTCCGAATTGCCGTGCAATTGTCCATGCCCGTATGCCTACATAAGGAACGGAGTGGCTGCTGACAGCATCCATTATTGGGTTTGCTTTCTACCAGCTAGTGCTACTTTACTGCTATCAATCCCGCACTGAAGATGCCACCTCGAATGGTGGTGAAACGTTTGCAACCATGTTGCCCAGCTCGGAGAACTCCACAACAACTGAACCTTCGCAATGGCTGGCGGAACGGATCTACCAATCCGGACAGCTGACCTACCTGTTTTGAGGTGACTTTAAAAAATGTCCATTGTGTTCACACTACTTGTATCCGTTTCGGTAGCTATTTCCAGAGCACGCTTTTGTCTCCAGGCGTTGGGTTCTGATTTTCTGGCTAGGATTCGGAGCCAGCAGAGAACGAGTTCAGTTCAGCTAGAATCGCATTTCCTTGTTTCACAAACTTAAAACCACATTGAAAGGACGGGGTTTCGAAACCATAGAGGAGATCCAGGATATTGCGACGACAGACCTGCGTGCCACCCCAGAAAGTGCGTTCCAGGAGGCGTTGCAAAAATGGAAGCACCGTTGGGAGCGCTACATTGACAGTAGAGGAGATTGCTTTGAAGTGGACGGTGATTAAAATGTTGTGCAATGGGCAATAAAAATGCTGTAGCGAAAGTTCACCTACTTTTTGAACACAGTACTATGTAATAATCATGTGGCGAAATGATGCCAATCACATGGGGGTGGCCGGTCAAATATACAACGTCTTAGTTCATTAGCGAACGTGTTGCTGCCAAACTACAGCCGGTGTAGTACGGGGGGAGAGTGAAAACAAAGTCTACGGCTATCGAATCTCTTCATGAAGAAATCAGGTTTATTAGATCAAATATTACAGTGGGTCACACTGCTGCAGATGCCCAGCTTTTCAGTTAAATAAGGGTGTGGTGGTTCATGGATAAGTGTACCACTGCAGCCAGAGTAGATGTTTGTGCAAGCAGCGTGATTACCTTAGTAAAGAGTCGGTAAAATATCGGTTTTCACTGACCAAGGTGGACAAATGTTAGAAAAAACGTAGAGAAGAGGCAGTATAAATAGTCACGTGCAGAACAGATGGGTTAATGTAAACTTCCAAATGGCCTTTAAAACGAAAATATGATATATCCAGTGATCCGAGACCCATAAAATATTCAAGGTTCAGTGCTAATGTTGAAAAATACTCGCCCACTCAAAAGCTTCTTGTCGTAAACGTGGCAGTGACTGAGAAGTAAGCGAAAAATGGGAAGATAGTCGAAACAAATGGGGCATTCATAAAACCAGACATAATGAGCAACGGAAACCGAACACAACTATCCTCTTCACATCAGCCGTACAGCAGAGTTGAACGGACAAATGAATCGTATACACTATCCTTCAGGGCGCCATAGTTAACGAAACTGAGAAAAAGCGCCTGAAGCTTTGGCTGTACTGTTCCCCACCTCACCTTCTATGCCACAGGCGCTAATACAGATACCAAAGGTAGTTGAATTTCGGAATAACTTCCAGCTGATCACTACCAGGCGGTAATCCCAGCCAAATGTAGGGAAAAACTTTGCATCCAGAGGTTGCACAGTAACGCCAGAAACGGCTGACAAGCAGTAACAAAGTGTCCAGTACTGCATGGTTGTGGGCTGAACAGAGTTCGCTTTGGGGAGTAAGAAGCCACTCTCACTCAACCCAGAATTCCACACAATGCAAAGGTGGGATCTTTCACGTTAGCAACACTTCCACCCGTTTAACAATTGAAAAGAGTTATGTGATGCTCTGTACATTAGGGTGTGCATTTGGTAAAATAATGCATATGATTACATCACTTGTACTGTGCCACAGTATGTTTGTCTTTTTCTGGGACATAAGGAATGTCTTTCTTGTTGAAAATGCGAATATTTCGTTCTTTCCTTCGTTTCTTAGCCCGGATAATAGCGTGCTCACGGTTGGCCGCGAACACAGGTTTCGGCAAATGCCGTTTCTTCAGGATCTTTCGCACTTCCGGGTGGTCTTTGAACTTGTCCCTAAGTGCCTCAGCGGTGTTTAATGCATTTCTCTGCCTAGGCTGCATCTATAGAAGACGAAAGATAAAAGTATTCCAAACGGAACACCTACAGGACCAATCTTTTCGCTAGCATGTGCCTTCCAAATTCGAACGTTCTGATCGGAAGAGGAGGAAATCACAAATTTGCTGTCCAATGTGAAACGAACGCTTAGCACCCTTTTCATCCGGCGTCCGTGATATACGTCGAACGATTCGGCATCACTTGTCTGCCAAAGTCGAATCTACTAACAATATAAACGCCAAAAGATATGTGTACCGTGGAGTCATAGCTACCGGTAACGAATTCACGTCCCGTTGGAGAATAGTCAATATCTAAAACTGCGTTCACGTGGCCCCGATAAACACGACGAGGGAATTTAAAGTAACGAACATCGAACGTGTATACATTGTAATCCTCCGAAGCTCCCGTCAAGACGTACGGTTCCATGGGATTCCAAGAGAAGGAGTTCAGTTTCATGTCCATTTTGACCTTGAGGAAAAAAGGAAAGGGGGTAAATGCTTGCTCATCGTAACGAACCGGAGTAAGAAAACTTGGTGAATCACACGAATATTAAGGACATAGCATGGTGACGTAGCATGAGACAAACGGTGTTAGCGGGTAAAACACCGAGATGCAAAGTACACAAGAAACTTATGCCACGGGAACGTGGTTAAAATGTCGTTCGGCATCTCCCGCTCTGTTTTCAGGCCAGTATGCTCCGTTTACTACTTTGTGCATTATAGATTTTCTTGGCAAACTCAGTTTTCTGTGCGGTTCTGAATTTGTTTATTGTATATTAGTGTCCGATCCACATATTTTATTGTAGTCTTTAAATGGTGTTCTGATCGTTCCACTAATTCACTTCTGCTAAGCCGTTCTTAGCGACGAAGTAGACTCCCTGCTGCACATGTTGCAAAATTGTTGAGCATGGTAATAAATGCTGTCACATAATTGATTTGTACCGTGAATTTTCACATCTCATGCATCGGTTCATCCACTAACCTAGTTGTACTTCTGCGTGGAATTTAGCATGACTTTGTCTAAATATTGTGCAAGGTATGTCAGACTAAAGGGCAATCATCAGCAGCTGATGAGCATCGCGAAGCAACAAGTAGAGCGAAAAGTTCAATAGCGAGGAGCTCCGTGGGCTCAACCCAACAATCGGAAATCCAGCCACCCTTGTGTCCGAATGATCCCACCTTCCCGCCGGTTGCCGGCTCTCCGGAACTATTTCTATCCATTACTGGAGGTTTATAGCTGGTGTGTCTATGTTGCGTTATAAGGGCACGAACGTCCCACTGTGCAATAGTGTAAGCGATGAAGCCCAGTGGAAAATCCAACAAAGAGAGAGCAACCGCCGACGGCCAGATGCGTTGCAACCCTACACTTCATGCGCCTGAACAAACTGATACCAATGCATATGCTCGCTATTATCACGACGTCGAGTTTCTGCCAGCCGATGGCCGAGTGGTCTGCACGCCTGACTCACGATTGTAAGGTCATCGGTTCGAATTCGCGTAGAGGCAGGTGTTTTTGCAGTACACAGCCCACGCGCGACTGGTGGTGGTCGCGCGGCAGCTAAGTGCCGTTATGGCGTACAGCTGACACATTATTACCATGTATTTATTATGATTGACAGACTCCTCGACATTGGTGAGCAAAGGTTGAGGGTGAAGCAAATCACCCGTCCTGGAAGGAGATAAGGGGTAAAACCCGGCCTGTGTGAATTACTTTTGTTGTTGAAGCCAGTTCGAGACCGAGACTATCCCGCCTCGGTAGGCTAAGAGGTCTGTAGACTCATATTCCCTCAGATAGAGATCAATCAGACCGAGTGGAACCCAGGTCCGCCATCGTGTAGTTTAAGTGTCGTAGTTAATGTGCGGAAATTAACCTCCACATTGTAAACTTCCGGGTAGTTTCCCGGGTTCGCCGAACTTGAATCAACAGGTCTAGGACGCTGAATGCGCGGCCACCAGTTCCTACGGTGGACTGCACATAGCCTTCACTAATCTTTGCAGCTTAATGAACAAAGGTGATGATTTGTGCCACTTCGTTACCTCTCGTCGGCCGGACTGGCTGAGACCTGGTTGACGCCTGAGATAACCTACCAGGAAGTCCAGATCGAGGGCTACTAGTGCTTGCGGTGCGGCAAACTATCGAACGACTGCGATGGTGTGCTGCTATACATTTGGTCCTCCTTGTGCGGGAGACTGGTAAGCACCAACCGGAGCAAGGATGGCCTATGCGAGCAACTGTGGTGCTCAATCCACCTGAGGCGTGGCGTACTGTTCGTGGGTGTAGACTATCGCAATCGGCGAAGTCACTGTTTGTATTCGTTTCTGCCTCTTCGAAATCACACGAGTCGTCCCCGCTGCATGCTCTTGTTTGATTTTAACTTTCCACGAATACGATGGCCTCAGATTCACTTGCAACATTGTGAAGTCGAGATGATTTCTGAGACTGCGGCAGCACATCTGTCAGCATTGCACCGCATTCAAATTTGCCGTGACTGGGCCTGATGGTGAGTAGCTACGAACAGCATGTGCGTAATGTTTTTGTCCTACAGCCCATAGCAACGCGTGATCACTCGATGATCATGGTCAACCTTGAACTATTGCAGTCATAGTCACATCCTCTGGAGCCATCACACAATTACTGGAAGACTGGCTTCGATGGTCTAACTCGAGCCACTGGTTAAGTGGACTGGTCGCTGCCGTAGGGTTTATCTGCGGAAGCATGTTTGTCTGTTATAAAATAGGGTGTGAACTCGCTGTATCCTCGATTTTACCCTTCAAGTATCGGAAAGCTGGGCCAGTGAAGCCACATCGGTACGATAAAGAGTATGACCAGTTGGCTCGACGGCGATGCGAATTGTGGAATAAATGCCTCTTGTCTGGCTATGCCGAAGATCACGAGGTGCACAAAAGGTAGCAGAATCCATGTAATAGCGTGGAGGTACAAAAGCGTCAGCAGTTCGAAGAGGATATTGCAACCGCCTGAGACCTGCAGCCGAGGTAGTAGTGTTGGACGTCTCAAACCGACAGCCTCTGACTTCCAGCGTTGAACGTGCGTTCGCGTTGGCGACGCACTACGCTTCTGCATTTGCAAGTGGGCAAGCTTCTATACCAAACTCCACGTGTGCAGCCCCTGCAAAACTCACGGCTGGATTGCGATGTGGAAGATGTCCGAAAGCTACTTGCCAGTCTTGACAACACGAAGTCTGTCGGTCCTGATGGGCTCCACCTGCTGATTCTCAAGCCGTTGTCAGGCATCATTGCGCCCTTTGTGACTTATTTGTTCAACAGATCATTATCCCAAGGCGCAATGCCGATCGACTATAAATGCTCGGTAATGAAGACGATTTCGAAAGGTGGTGATCCAAGTAAGGTGGACAATTACCAGGCGATTTTTCTGACCTCCGTTTTGGCCAAAGTACTCGAGAAGATGGTGAACAAGGGTCTACTGAAGCTTTTGGGGCTGAGAAACCTCCTGGTTACCGCACAGCACAGCCTCATGAAGTGTCGTCCCTGAATCACCAGCCTGCTGTTGACGCGGCATGAGTGCCTGCAAGCGCTGAACGGGATGAAGTCGATGGATGGGATCTAGTCAAGTCAATTCAAAGTGAAAGCAGGCTTTATGCCTCCGGGTAGTTGCATTTTCAGCATGTTACACTATCACTGTGGATGGTGGTCTATATGAAAAGATTGTTACAGCAAAAAGAAAACGCGTAACAATGTCTACACTTATCACTCGAACAATTAATTATGCATCATCTTGATAGTCCTAGACGAGTCAACAAGCAAGCGGAACAAGTACGGTAGCAGAGAATTGTGGTAAGCTGAAGTACGTGAAAATAAAATCTTAAATTTGGATCGGGTAGAGGAAATAGTGTTTTTGATAGGTTACAATGTAGTGGATGAAGAGGGTCATTTAGAATTTTGGAGGAAAATCTAGTACAATCGTCTAGGTGCTTGTTTACAATAAGGGACGCTCTAGACAATCCCCTGCATCTGGAAATGAGTTTTATGGACCGCATAATCAATGCATAGTCCTTTACGTGGAACCCAGGAAAGATCACAGGGGAACAGTAGAGTCAATATGGCAGTATACATGTAGTCGCAAATCTAAGAGCCAAATCACGGGGTATTGAAAGTACTTTAAGTCAAAGAGCATAATTTGACAACGGTCAAACCTTACAAAGCGTTTCGGCAACGTAAAGCGACCACGTTTCGGAATAAAATGACTCCCAGAAATCTAATACTCGACGACCTGAGAATGAACTGCCAATGGAGAAGTGGCGTCCAAAACAACTTGCAAGTTGTCAGTCTGGAGAAACGAGAACGTTAAGCCAAGACATGTAGAAGGATTCAAAATCAGGGATCGGCACGAGAACCAAAGCACGACCTCATCTAGACCACTTTTAAAAGTAGATGTCACAACGGTTGGTGTTACACATCTCCATACGACATCCACAGCAAATTGCATTAAAGACAGGTAGATTGTATGGAGAGCTTTCCAATACATATATATATATATATATATATATATATATATGCGGGTGAGAGGATGACTCCCTATAAAACACCTCGAAAAAAAGCAAACAGAGGAATTCGCTTCATTAATCTGGTTGAAGTGAATGCGGTTTGCGAAGTAGTCTTAAACCACACTGCAAACACTTGTTGGAACCCTAGTTGCAGACAGCTGCTTGAGCAGGACTGATGTCAACGCTACCGAAAGCAGACGTAGAATCAAGAAACAGAAGGCGAACACCTCCGCATTTTTATCCGGTGCAGATGCTACAGAATATACAAAATAAAACACCGCATCCAGTGTTGAGCAGTCATGTTTGTAAGTAAACTAGTAAACAACGCCTGGCGGGAGACACTACGGAGCATTGAAGATATTGGTATCCAGATCCTGACAGATGGGCTGCCCACTGCTGCTACTGTTGTGACATGGGCTCATGTCCTGGACGCCCCTCGTGGCGCCCTTCTCTTAGCTAAGAGCATGGACACCAATCCGCATGAGTCAACGAACTAACTATGTGCTAGGACCGCTACCTTTCGGGTGTACATTTAATCGAAGGCTTTGACTGAGAACCCGAGTCGTTCCCATGTCAGAGATAGCGCCCTGCCAATATCCTAGTCCATCCACTTCGGAGGTTACGAAGTGGTCGATGGCCCTCTTCCCATAAAACCTAGCCATGGGAGACAACAGGTCTACGGGTTTTAAGCTCACCACTCGATTGGCGTAGAGCACAAGCGCCACAGTGGGAAGGCACCTCACGGTGCTAAAGCGTTTGCTACTGCACACCTCAGGCCAGCCAGCCAGCCCCTGGTCAAATTGGTGCAAACCCGCCAAAACCCACCTGCGTCTGGCCGTGGTCGCAAGTGCGTATCTTACTGCGGTAACAAAACATATATGAATTGTTCCAGTACCTCAAAGGATGCGTGCGATGGACGTGAAGCAGACCCCAATCTGTCTCTGCA